CAGAGCTCGCATCAGTGCGGGCTTGGCAAAAGTGCGCATCGAGGGCGCATATCGACCGCAAAGGGGGCATTTGCGCGCATCCTTCTGAAACCTAAAATGACAAATGGGACACCCTACGGTCTCATGGACTTAACGGACAAGCGCACGCGGCAGCCATTGTAAGTCCACAAGACCGAAAGTCCATATGAAGTGTGCCATTTGGGACAGGGCCATATAGGTCTGCTACCCGACCCGAGGCCGACGGGGCCCGAAGAACAATTACTGAGGGAAAACACGTTAGTAAATCAAATAGCCACGTTTCTCTCACGTCTCTCAGAAATCAGCTTTGTCAAAAGTAGGCTGCTATCGACTAAAACACTACATCATACACATTTTCTACTATTTGAAATGTGTATTTAAATGTTTTAAACCTTGTACGATATGATAAATGAATGAGTGCAAACTAGACTAAGCTATGAGTGAAATAAAGCGCGATAGCAAGTTAAATAGCCACGTTGTTATCTCTGTGCTTCTCTATGAATCATACAGTTTCTACCACTTGATGTGTCTATTTAAATGTTTTATTATAATTATTTATATAATTATTTTTTATTTTATTATTATATTGTTACATTTATTCTTAAATACTCTATTTTTTATTTTTAATAAATAATGAAAGTGTTATTACAATAATAATATTTCTTATTTTGTTTAATATTTTTATTTAGCAACAATAATAATCATCATCATAATAATAATAATTATTAGTCATATTAATATATAAGAACTAGATGTTGGACCAAATTGTGCAGCCCTACAAACAAGCACAACAAACCAGCTGTTTTCTTTTTAAATCGTGCATCGCAAATTTAACCAGAAAAATGGTAATTAGATTCCCCCCCAAATCGTGCAGCCCTAACATTATGCATTTTATTGTGGCTGACTAAATTCCAGAAAGATCCTCGGTTTAATTATTGCACTAGGTCATACTCTGATTGCAGTTTTTTATTTATTAGATTTGAAGCCCTAACTGGGAGTAAAAAGTTGCGAATGATGCCCACTTGGGATGCACAATATTACATTACTGGCTGATACCAATAAGCTGATAATAATTTTCAGAATCAATAAAAGGCCGATATTAAAATTCTATACTATTTTGTCAGAATTCAAATAAAACACTGAAAACCAAAATCAAGTGAATTTAGGCATTACAACATTATAATGTGCAGTATAAAAAGTAGATATTCATTTGGGGTTTTGCTAAAGATTACTTTTAACAATGTAATTAAATCAGTGTTTTAAAGATTAACTTTAAGTGCATTAATCTAAGATGACAAAAGGGTTCTTTCAAAAACATAAAAAAATCTTACCGACCTCAAACCTTTGAACAGTAGTGTACATGTGATATATTTTTGATATTTTAGTCTATCAAAATCTGTTCTTCCTTAGGGTTAGGGTTAGTCTGCTGCACTTTGTCTGTGCAGAGATCCTGTCAGGCCCGAAGCTGATTTTGCTCAACAAAAAGAAACTTGAGCTTTATAAGACTGTCTAATGTAGTTGCAGCTTTGGTGTGTTGTTTCTTAATACCGTTTGCACTGCATTAAGATTAAAACATGTCGAGAGGTTTAGAGCTCCAGTGAAAGGAAATGGGCAAGGCCTTTGGTTAGCTATGAATGAGGTGCCCAGATTACTGAATGCGGGTGAAAGTTGTCTTACATAATAATATTCACAGAGTACAAAGACATCATTTTCCATTAGTAGAGCATGGCCGAATCTAAGTTAATGAAGAGCACATCAGAGCACAAGTCAAGCAAAAAACCACACACACAAACAACTGCAAACTAGTCGAGCGCTTCGGCCTACCAAAATGTAGGCTGTTAAATTAAACTCAGCAAGCATAAAAATGATAAACAACAGAAGAAAGGTTGCTGACTTTTGTTAGACGGCCATTTATACACATATAAGATCATTTTGCCGTCGACAGTGCAGCCGTGAAGAAGTGACAGCTGAATAAAGTAATCATAGCATTAGTTGTTGCAGTTGTTTTTTCCCAGGGCACGTTCAGTTGCAGGCCAGCCAGATTGCAGACTACCAAGACGACTATAATTGGGTAATGATTAGTTGGTTCTCTCTCCAAAAACCAACAATGACTTCAGGGCCACAGCTGTTTTTCCTAAAAGCTGTATTTTGCACAAAAACCCCTGCTGCGGGTTTGACCATTTGTGCCAGTGAGTTTGCAGCTATAGTTTAGTTTGTTTATTAGTAAAGGAATATCAGTTTTGTGTGTTTTCTGTTATCGATGACCACACAAGCACAAGCAGACATTTTGTAAATGACAAATAAGAGTGTCCAAGATAAAAAAGGAAACTGCTTTTAAATGTTTTGTTGTTGTTTAAAGCACATCATGTGCGAAGTTCTTAGCAACATAATCTTTGTTCATGTTGGCTTTATGTGGTTTTGAGAAATATTTTTGCCATGCCATAAAAAGTTCAAATTATCTGAGACTTACTGATCTTGACACACCTTAAACAGTCGTCGGGGTCTGCATCATTTCCTGTTTTTTTTTGTTGTTGTTTTTTTCTCAGTGTGTGTGTTATGCATGAGTGTGTTACGTTTTTCAAATGGTAATAAGCAGTGGAGCGGTTTTATTAAATTCTAAGAAATAATAAACAAAGATTATATTAAACTACATTTCATGAATTTCATTCTTTTAAAGAAAAAAAAAAAATTATGAGACAAGGAAATTAGTATTACTTTGACATCTCTTGGACATTTTGGAGGTACCCCCCCCCCCCCCCCCCCCCCCCCCCAAAATGAAACTAATTTAAATTCAGAAATAAAAACTTTGTCATCAGAAGAACTGATACAGTAGGTCTGGGGGAAAAACAATGCTGTAATTTTACCTTAAGACAAAAAGTTTTGTAAGTAAAGACATTTGCTAAATTATATTTGTGCAAAATAGTTAATATTTGTAAAATAGCCATTTGTCTTCAGGAATAAATTGTCTTTGACAATGAAATCTCAGCCTAAAGTTGAAAATGAAAAAGATTAATTTAGTTGTTCTTCAGGGGCTGCATTACAGAAAAATCCCAACTTAGAACCTCATTCTATCTGTTTAGTAACCATGGTAACTTGACTTAGGAAATAGAAATCATAATTCAAAAATTAAGTTACGAAGTCTCTGTAATGCATCCCTAGGAATAGGATCTAGATATAATATGGACTAAGGATAGGACATGGATTCATGTTGAGGTAACTGTGAGATGAGGAAAGATTGAGGGCGGAAGAGGCAGGCTTCGTGTCCGTAAGAGGGAAAAGCGAGCAGACTTCCATGTTTAACGTGCAGTGGAAAAGTGGAATGTGCTGACATGGCACTTCGTCTGAACTCCAAAATTAATAATCAGACGTGGTTTAGCCTTGCACTGCCAGGAGGCGAAGGCAGCCAAGCTCTGGCCTCTTTGTGGTGGGCCTGAAAAGGAGGGTCTGGCACACGGCCAGTGGGGTTTTGCTTGTTCAGGATTTTTGATTAAATCGTTTATTGTGCTCCACTCACGCAAGGGGCCAAGCATCGCTCGCTCCAGAAGGGGTGGATAAGACAGAAGGAAACGGAGGGCTTTTTTCACCAGCTCAAAGCTTTTGTATGATAAAGACATTTTTTTTCTTTGTTTTCTTCTGTGTAGCTCCATCCATTTGGTTTTTTTAATACAATATTTTACTATATATTCAATTTTGAAATGTGTTCTAATGTCTACTTAATGTTATTCTAAATAGTTTTTGAATGAATTCAAGAGGGTTTTTTAACCAATAGAACAAGCGAGGTTGGAAGCACAATATAAAAAACATATGCAATTATACATCCCACAGTCATCACACCCTTAAGACAGAAGAGAAGGGGGAGACGTGGCCTGCGTTGAGTTTAGCACAGGCTCTGAAGTCTGAGATGCAAAAATACACAGATTTTATAGAATAGCCTTCTCATTATATCACATCAACAACAGCCTTATCCGCTGTTGCTGCTTTTGGCAGCTTTAGTATTCCACGAAGGACTGCATATTTAGCGCTATATTTAAAAAAGGTAACAGGCAAGTCAAAGTCAAATTTAAAACATTGGCCTCGGGACACTGAGTCACAACAGTAGGTAGAGAAGGCTGTAATCTTGCAAACCACAATTCAAAAATGAGAAAGAAGAGTGCCAGAGTAAATGCTGGTGTTAAGGCACATTTTACTTAAGATTTGTTTTTTACAGTATTTATGCCACTCATTTTATTTATAAAAAAGGAAACCGTCAAATGTGATCCCATGGGTCCATGATATGATGCTTTTTTTGGTCTGGATCTAACAGTAAAAAGCAATTAATTCATACAGTAAATTGAACGTACATTAAAATTCACCATGATAATTTTTCTTTTGGGGTATAAAAGCTAAATATAGAAAATATAAATAAAGAGAAAACCACTGGTTTCTTTGTCACAGAAAACCAGATTTTTGTGACAAAGCAATTATTTAAGGTTGTAAAGTGTCATGTGGTCTGGTGTGACTCCCCACAAACTTAATATATTTATGAGTTAATAATTCTTGATATTTGTAAATATATATATTTTTTTGTTACCTTGAAAAATATATTAAGAATGTGAATTATAATGAATAAGATGTGTGCTCTCACATGCATTCAAGGTGTTAATGGTAATGATAATTCAAGGTGTAAATGGTAATGGTAAAGGAAAATGGTATTAATTTTTACTTGATGGTTACACCACATGACAGTTGAGTGATTAAATGTTAACTTTTGTTGAAAATGGTATAAAGAACTTTGTGCTTGGCTTTCTTAAAAAAATTATATATATGTATATATACATATATTTGTCATTGACCCCTGTACAGAATGTTCAGTAAGTGATTGATATCATTTAGTTGTTGGTTTTGATGTTCATTGAATAAGCTGCTTCTTATTTTCAGCTGTTGTTTGGAAGCACATAAGCAGAGGTTTGATTTGAAATTCTCCTCTTTCTCTGCCGTTTCAGTTGCTCCAGTCCTGGACTTAACCAAACAGTTCACACACCTAGAAACTGCTCCCCCAAATCTTATTAAGTTGGTCGAAGCAATTGAGCAGACAGGTAATACTTTTGTGTCATTGAATGTCATGTAAAGGGCTTTATTGTTTGTGGTTTGTTCGTTAGAGAACCTGACATATGATATTTCAAATCCAGAGCGAGCAGGAGTCCCACAGAGCGCCTCCAACCACAAGAAAGAACGAAAATAAAAAGTTACCTTGGATTTCTTTTTTTAAATTGATTGTATTTTTAATAGATATTTCCACTTTGAAAATAATATTGGAAGCAGAAGTGTGAAAAATGTTTCTTATTGCGCCATATGGCAGTTATTACCATCCAGATTTCCTCTTTCGCTGTGAGCCGTCCCTCTCTTTGTCCCCTTGAGCGAGAGACTGAGTGACGCTCGGACTGTCTGGCTTGACTGAAGCTGTCTTCTCACTTCTTCACAGACTAAAACAGAGCTCAGGGATTCAGCTAGGCTGTTTTCCCAGTTCTCTCGATAGCATGACTGGATATATTTATATCTCCAGGCTTTTACATTTAATGTTTAGATGTGACTGCTTCTCTAATCCAAGCTGGCATGGAAGATCTATTTTTGAGAGATGAGCTAATGCCTCGATTTTCTGCTAGGTCTGGACTCTATGACACTTTACAGGACATCCACTGCTTCAGCCTCTGACAGTCAACGACAGAGCCTCGCTGGTAAGTTAAATCCGCTGTTCTCATCTTTTGACTGTCTTCTCTTTCGCAGAAGTGGAAAAGTTGTATTCACATACTTGGAAACATATACAGCGGCAGGGCTTAAGGATTTTGATTGCTTTAGTTTTTTTTTTTTTTTTTTTTTTCGTGTTATTCTTAGTAGCTGTAAGTCTTTCTGTTTGTCTCATTTTAGTGTTGATGTTAGCCTGTTTACATTGTTTAAATATTTTCTCTATATAACTAGGTTGTTTATTGATAACATTGTTTTTCAGCTGTAACATTGCTGAGAAATTATTAAAATGTCTTTTGCATTTTAAATGTAACTTTTTTAATTATATTATTATCACATTGGGAAAAACATTTTTACCATTGATCTCATTTTTTAAACAATTCTGAGATAATAATTTAAATAGTTCTGTGTAATTATCCATCCATCCGTCTTATCTAAAATAAATGTATTTATTCAATAAATATTATATAATGTATTGTATAATAATAATATTATATAAGTATAATATTTGCTTGTACTACTATTAATAATTACTAATAAAATGTAATAAATATGTATAGTTCATTTTACAGTTTCTTTGTTTTTATTTTTTAATCCTAAAATGTTATTTCCAAGTTTAAATTACATTTTGAAAGTCTCAGGCTTTTGAACCCCACTATATATACACCATATAAACATAATCACAAAAGTGTGATGACCAGGAGTGATCAGGCAAAATAAAATGCTGTTAAGGGTAGGATAAAATTCCCCAGCAATTAGCTTCTTGGTTACCATTAGTGAAAAAATATTTATGTAACTCTGTGTAACTCTAAAGTGCTTGAAAGGGATGTATTGGATTAGATCTAGTGGATTAGTGCATGGATCATGATGTGACCGGTCATTTGTCTTGTGCAGAGCTGCAGGAGTTGGACGTGGGACAGTGGGACATTCATGCACTCTCGGAGGCTCTTATTCGGTACCTGCAGGAACTTCCTGCCCCCATCATCCCTCCCTCTGTTTATACAGACCTTCAGGCTGCAGTGAAACTAGAATCAGGTATGTGCCACTTTTCACTTATTCGTGCAGGACGAAAGAGCACCGTGTATAGAAAGTAACAGAATTATATGAGCTCAGCGAACAAACAGCTCAAATGTGCTGAGTGTCTGCCCTGTCTTTGCCTGCGCATCTGATGGCCCATGCACTCACGGTGATGTCATTCACGAATAGACGTTCCCTCCGTGAGGCGACGAGAGCAGCTGTGGGAGGCACTGGGGAAGCCTGAAGTTCCACTGCAGAACATCCTGACGCTGCATTATTTGCTCAGACACCTGGAGAAGGTCTGCCAGTGCGCGGAGCACAACGGCCTTGACATTCACACCCTCGGCCAAATCTTTGGCCCTCTGCTGATCAGGGGCCCTGTGAGCGGGTGAGCGGGATGTTTCTATTGGCTGGAGACAACTTCTGGAAATGTGTTGCTGAAAATTTGCACATGTGCAAACTATCTCCATTTCTATGCGTTTGATTTTCAGGTCGGAGGAAGATGAGGGGTTTCCTGCGGTTGCAGTTGAGAGACTTCTTTTGGAGAGAATTTGGGAACAAGAGCCGACCCCTCCCGGTGAGTTACCTATTGTAATAGTAATGCTTTTTAGGGCGTTTTCACATCTGAAAGCCCGCACCAAGGTCCGAACCAAAGTTCATGTTTTGATACATTTTATACATTCGGTAAGTTTTGGTTTGGTTTCACATTGCAATTATGCGAGTGCACTAAAGAACTTTACATGACATACTTGCGTCCTGTCGTCATCATCTATGTGGGCTGCATCTTGACATTGATTGGTTTGTAAACGGACGTGCGTCTGACGTCAGCGTGTTGTCAATTCGGCGGGTAACTTTGACAAGAATGAATGAACAGACGCATATCGTTGCCACTATACTGTCATTATTACGGCATTACTACGTGCAGCACCATCTATACTCGAGGGTAGTTCAAATTCGCCAAATGAACGTCCTCGTTGTGCGAACATTTTATCGTCGCCGGCAGGAAAGGAGATGAAGACTGCAAGCAATCCTGCGAGAACCACCAGAACTTCCTGTAAAGTCTGAAGCATACAGAAAATGCGCTCACACTATAAACGAACCAAACCTTTGTTCAGTTTGATCCGGACTGAGACTACCTCTTTTCGCCTGACCAAATTCTGTCTGTTTGGTCCGGACCGTGGTCCAGGGGAGGTTTCACACCTGATTCGGATCAAACTGAAAAGTCAGAAAATCCGGACCAAACAAGGTTGGTGTGACCCTTATATGTGACCCAACACCCTTATTCACAGTTGTCAGGGGGATCTACCAGGGCCCTGTGGTGAGGGCAGCCCTGGATGCAGCCATGGTTACACTTCTGTAAACAATGTTATTTAAATTTTTCCCTTTTTGTTTTGCTGCATATTTTTAAACATTTATTTATTTTGTAGTACTGCTCATTTCCATTAAATATTATTATATTATATATACACACACACATGCACTAACGTTCAAAACTGTTGGGTCAGTAAGATTTTTTTCAAAGAGATTAATACTTTTATTTAGCAAGGATGCTTTAAATTGATCAAAAGTGACATTTATAATTTTACAAAAGAATTGTATTTCAAATTAATGCTGTTTTTTAAACTTCCTATTCATCAAAGAATCCTGAAAAAATAAAAATTAAGGTTTACACAAAAATTGAAAAACTGTTTTTAACATTGATGTTTAGGAAATGTTTCTTGAGCAGCATATTTTAAATGATTTCTGAAGGATCATGTGACACTGAAGACTGGAGTCATGATGCTGAAAATTCAGCTTTGCCATCACAAAAATGAAAAAAAAGAAAGAAATCAAGAGCTTTGTCTTCCCTGTAGTGTAGACATAAACCCTACTCCAGAAGAGAAAACATCATGTCATTGCTAAATATCTAAGCTGGTAACTGAAAGGTTGCAGGGCTGATCCCCGGGCGATCACCATTATGCCCTCGAGCAAGACAGGTGGCTCCAGAGACACTGTCGCTGTAATATAACATTGCACGTTTCTATGGTGACGATGCATGAAAGTCGAGAAAGCAAATGTTGCCCTCAGTCGTGTGGGGATAAACAAAGCTTATTATTTTTTTATTTTAAATATTTGTCTTATTTGCCTTGTTTAATTAGCTCTCCCTCCTAAACCGCCCAAAGCCAAAGTCATGGCCTCATCTGTGACCAATGGAAACAACAGCTTACTGAGTGACGCTGAATGGTACTGGGGAGACATTTCAAGGTAAACCGCTGATATAATTACCAGGTCAGCTGTTATTAAGATCTCACACATTTCTGTTTATGACAAATCTTTGTTTGATGCGCACGGGTTTAGAGAGGAAGTGAATGAGAAGATGAGAGACACTCCTGATGGTACGTTCCTGGTGCGGGACGCTTCAAGCAAAGTGCAGGGAGAGTACACCTTGACCCTCAGGTGAGCGCTTCCTTAGGCCAAACTGCATTTTGTTTAATATCTAATAGGAGATGAATGCATTGCATAGGTGTGCTGATGTATAATTTGTTTACTATGCATGATTACAAAGTGTCTAACAGGGACACAACATGATCAAAGCTTTGTGTTGTTTATTCCAGGAAAGGAGGCAATAACAAACTGATCAAGGTTTTTTACCGCGGGGGGAAGTACGGATTCTCAGAACCTCTTACTTTTTTCACTGTGGGGGAGCTCATCAACCACTACCGGCATGAGTCACTGACTCAGTACAACGCCAAGCTGGACACTCGCCTGCTCTTCCCCGTGTCTAAATATCAGCAGGTGCGATGCCTCCGCTCTTCACAGTGCTCAAACTGATGCCGTCTTTTCACATTAATGGTATAATTTGCCTAAAATTGACATTTCGGTCAATATTTACCTACCTTCATAATGTACATAAGAATATTCTTATAGATCTTTTCCATACAATGGCTGTTCATAGCAACCACAAATCGTCAGTTTCCCCCCAAAAAAATACAAGCACCTTAAAAGTGGTCCACATGATGTTAGATTCACATTTAAAAATTTTAGGGACCGTTTTATTTAGCTTTCTGGTATATAATAATATATAATACTAAATTTGTTATTAGAATTAATCCCCAACTTTAAGAAATGTTGTAAGACCCCTGCATGTTGTGCTTCACCTGGCTGTTTTGAACTCAATAGTAGAGATGCACCAATACTAAATTTCTCCACCGATAGCCGATTATTTAGAAAGATATCTGCCGATACAGTTTAGTTTGATTTTCTTAAGGAGAAAAAAAAACCTCCCCCAACTAATGCTGTGTAAACTATTCAGGGAACCCCTTTCATTTGGGACATTATTATAATATTAGAGGCTAAAATTAACAACAGAGCCCAAACTATTATATTCAACTAAATATTAAATTTATTTTCAGATATAATTAAACTTAAATAAAAACTGAAATGTTTGTATGCAACTCATTTGCACAAAAACACTTGCCTTCATGACACATGTATTCAACCATACATATATAATTAACAGTAAATAACTTTCTTGAGGTACATTAAGTGACTACGTTTTATTGACTACTTTCCGCTGTTGAAACACTGATTAAGCTATTTCATGAGACATGCTACATTTCGGTAATTTGTACTGTATCTTTCAACATACCTTTTGGTGTTCATGCATGTTGTTGTTTTTTAAGCTATAACTTGTATTAAAGTGAATGAAAAGGTTCGCACTCCGCGCTGCAGGAACTGAGGCTCTCTAGCGCTACAAATCATGTTTGGTGTTGGGAAAAACTGCGGACCTGTGTATATATAGTTCTACACATCTCTAGTTAAAACCAACTTGAGGTTAAGAAAATAATGAATTAATTTGGGGGGGGGGGAATAAGGCTTGTGAACACATTTTCTTGTGCTCTGCAGGATCAGGTGGTGAAAGAGGACAGTATTGAGGCGGTAGGAGAGCAGCTGAAGGTTTATCACGAGCAGTTTCAGGAGAAGAGTCGTGAATATGATGTACTGTATGAAGAATACACACGCTCATCACAAGTAGGCCACATTTCATCTCTCCTTTACATGCATTGGGATCTTATTAACAGAGTCACTAATGGAGATGGTCTGTTCAATCTCTCAGGAGCTGCAGATGAAGCGAACAGCCATAGAGGCCTTTAATGAGACCATCAAGATCTTTGAGGAGCAGTGTGAGACCCAGGAGCGCCTCAGCAGAGAGAACATTGAGAAGTTTCGCAGAGAAGGCAATGACAAGGAGATTGAGAGGTAGTCTTGTTTTTCATTACACATCAGAGCACTATATCCATACAATCCATAATTGCCTGGTGTAACTTTGAATTCAAGTCATGTTTTGGCTTCTATATCAGAGGGAAACTTTTTCACTGTCTATTCAGAATTCAGAGCAACTCTGAAAAGCTGAAGTCCAGAGTGACAGAGATTCATGACAGCAAGAGGAAATTGGAACTGGACTTAAAGCGGCAAGCCACAGACAATCGAGAGATAGACAAGAGGATGAACAGCTTGAAACCAGACCTCATACAGCTGAGGAAGCTAAGGGACCAATACCTTGTGTAAGAACAGCCCCCATATATTTCTATTTTAATTTATGTAAAAATGTCATTTATTCCTGTGATGGCAAATCTGAATGTTCAGCAGCCATTATTCAGATTATCCTTCCTAAATCTTACATGCTGATTTTTTGCTCAAGAAACATTTCTTATTATTATCAATGTTGAAAACAGTTGTGCTGGTTAATTAATTAAAAATATAATTTGTATAGTAGAAAGTTCAGAAGAATAGAATTTATTTGAAGTAGAAATCTTTTGTAACATTATAAATGCCTTACTGTCTCATTTGATCTATTTAATGTATCCTTGCTAAATAAAAGATAGTAAATTTGTTGAAAAAGTTCTTACTGAACCCAAAGTTTTGTCAGTTTTTTTTCCATTGTTGAGTGAAGCCAGTAAAGACAACACAATATAAAAACATTATTTTGCGGTACACAGGCATTACTGCAAGCTCACAATAAATAAATAAAATTCTGTGACGCTGTAGATTCAGGATACTCTGTACACTGGTTATTTATTCACAGGTAACCGCTGGTGATGTTAACAACACTGATATTCTCTTTGCAGATGGTTGACTCAGAAAGGCACCAGGCAAAGGAAGATCAACGAATGGCTGGGTTTAATGAATGAATCAGAAGAGTAAGTTCTGTTCAGTCTATCTTCAGAAGTGCAAATAGGATGTATGAAGCCAGGCCCAGGTACATTAGTCATTTTGGGATACCCATAGAACACCACTTTGACAATCTGAACATTAATTTGGACATCACAGAGAATTTGGACGTCTTAACACAGACAAATTATAAAAAGGGTAAAAATAATCATGAACTTGACTCAAGATTATATCATCATATCTGTAAGATTCCACTGTCAAGCATATGGCATGCAAGTTTTATTCAGATTTTTTTTTTTACCTCATTTTTTAAAAATTCTATCAAATATTAAATTGAAAGATTTTACCTTGTAATTCTACAGAGATATGAGTGGATTTATGTATTGTTTGCCTTTGTATGTTAAACCACAGTTTTTGCCATGAAAATTGGCTTTTTGGTGATGACATGGCATAAAGATTTAAAATAAACAACAAGTAGGAAGGTTAACTAAATTATCTTATTGCACAAAGCACATAAATTAAATAAAATCATGATATTTTGGATCGATAAATCAGATATAGAAAAACAGTCATTATTCCACTTCTGACCTTTCAGCTTCTATTCTCTGTTGGACGACGATGACGATCAAGCACATCACGACGAGTGCTCCTGGTACGTAGGGGACATCAAGCGCACACAGGCGGAGGATCTCCTGAGAGGCAAACGAGACGGCACCTTCCTCATCAGAGAGAGCCAGACCCAGAAAGGCTCCTACGCATGCTCTGTTGTGTGAGTTACTGAAGCAATGCTCTATTCACCTCATCCAGATTCACATTTGCAACAGCTAGCGTTTGCTCCTTATTCAGAACCGGTTCCATTTTTAATCTAAAACTTTCTGTTCTGTTAGTGGTTCTAAAATGTGTTTTCTTCCACTACTTATTCAGTGGCACCGCATCACCAAATCTATAGCGCAAAAAAACATTCAGTTTGACTAGAAAAACGAATGATTCTAATGAATCGGTTTTTATTTTAGTGATTCAGAAACATTCAGTTCATACAGTGTAGTCCGACTCCTGAAAAAAAGACACTTGTGATACATTTCTTTAGTGAATCAAACATACAGCTTTCAACTAGCTGAGACTTCATATGACATGACAATATGCAGTTATTTGTCCGTAGTATTTCCTAAAAAAAATATATAATTATAGCAGTGGGGATTTCTTCTTTCTGCAAGGGAAGCTCGGCTTCCCCTATTATGTCAAAAAATTAATGGTCAAATATGTACTATTGTGTTAACATTTTATTGACTAAAAATGCGTTAGAACACGTTCATCTCGAAGACGAGTTCGTTCAGAATCAGCTACATATAGCAGGTCTGCTGACTTGATTTCCTTCTCATACATTCCCGTAGCGTCACAGTGTATTTCCCTGTTGAAGCCGAGCGTCCATTGACTTCAATGGGGCTGCTTTGAACAGTTTTTTTCAGTGCTTCGAAACGAGACGGTCATTGGATAAATGCTGCGATTATGTCCCGCCCACGGACGCTCAGCGTCCTTGGGGGTGAATGGAGCAGTGGGCTGGCCTGGACTCCGGGCTTCTGCGTGATGATTGGAGGGTCTGTCGAAAGACTGCATCTCCTTTTGATTGATAGCGATTTTGTACTATAAAAAGTCGCTGACGCTGAAGCTATTCAAGCTCAGTCCCATCGCGGATTTTGCAAGTGTAGTCGAAAGACAAACTGCTGCAACCTATTTCTTGGTATTTGCTTAGCGCAATTGCTAGCCAATTTTCATCATACATTTCACACAATTATACACGACCACATTCCTTGTTTCAGTTTAACCTAATTCACACATTTCCCCTGCTGGCCATTGAGAAGACACTGGTCAAGTCACTGGAGAAGACGCCTAGTTGGTACGACAGGGTCACAGAGCATTTTCTTTAAGGAACGTTGGGCAGAATTTACGTATGAATAAATGGACAATTTTTATGATGTAGGCCGAAAATGAGCTTCCCCTCTTTGAAAGACCAGCAGGCGCCACTGAATTTTACCAAATTTTTTGTATTGCTGTTTAATATTATTGGATTAAATGTATGTAGTCTCTAAAACGACTTTAAAATGTCTCTAAAAAAGGTCCTTTAAAAAGTACTATACTTAGTTATTCAATTACATTAAAGTTATTGATAATATTAAATATCTTAGCAAAATAACAGCCTAATGGGATTTTATTAAACTTCAAAATGCTATGAATTAAATAAATGTGAGTGCTGCATGTTCAGAGTCTAAATGCAGTGCAGATTCAGAGCAGTTTGCAATTAATAAATATAGCACATTTATGCCAAGCATTTGCTTATGATCTAATGTTGATGAATTATAACAATGTTTACTTCATGATGTAGATGGTTAAAACAGTGTATATTTTATCTCCCTCATCTTTTTGAACTAGCAGCTGGAAGTAGTAAATCATAGACATTTAAAAATAAGAGTCCTGATGTATTTTGGGCTTGTTTATTATTTTCATTCACAATTTGATTGGTATTTTGGTTACACAATAAACTGTATCTAGCATTTAATTCAATGTAAATTCTTGTAGCTTCTCTCTGGGCCGCCTCGTCACAGGAACGAAAGATTAAGAATATTATTTAACACATTCAGTATATAGACATAGGTGGAGGTGGGAAAAAAAACATTTAAATAGATTTCCATGAGATAATTTCAAGTTACTTGTCGCTTAGCAACAACCTACACATCCGAAATGATTAATAATCCTAATAATCCTTTAAAAGTAGTGATTCATTTTAAGAAAGTAGCAATTCATTTTAAGAAAAGTAGCAATTCTTTTTGGAAAAGTAGCGATTCATTTAAAAAAAAAATAGCGATTCTTTTTCGAAAAGTATCGATTCATCTTAAGAAAAGTTTTGATTCACTTTTAAAAAAGTAGCGATTCATTTTAAGAAAAGTAGCTATTTTTTTTCGAAAAGTAGCGATTCATTTTAAAGGTCCCCTGACATGAAATTTTCACTTTGAGGTTTTTTAACATTAATATGAGTTCCCCTAGCCTGTATATGGTCCCCCAGTGGCTAGAAATTTAAATCGGTGTAAACCGAGCTTTGGCTATCTTTCTCTGCCTTTGAGAAAATGAAATCTGAGACGGGCTGATCTTGAATCTCCTCCGTATGACGTCATACGGAGGAAAGGTAACCTCCCCTTTCTCTGCTTTGCCCGTCCAGAGAATTTGGCTCGCCCATGAGAAAATGAGCTAGGAAGTAACGTTACGAACGCGCGAGCGGGATTTGAGTTTTTCCTCGAGAGATATCATGGCTTGCAAACGAGCAAAGCATGGCAGTTGATCAGTGTTCGGATGTACAAATGAACACAAAAGTATTTTTTAGTTCCTTCATCCGAGCCTCTGAAGACACAATGGCTTAATTTTATTTTCTCTGGAAATGCGCCGACACAACTTCCCAAAGTTTTGTATGGTCCAAACATTTCACCGACGACTGTTTCCTCAAGTTGGGCCAATACAGAGCTGGCCTCGATGAACGTCTGAAAATAAATCGACAATAAAGCAACAATTTCTGATTTGTAACGTTAGCCTAATTGTTCAAGTTCAAAATCGTTCAATACTGTTTATGCATCAGTAAGTCAAGCCAGTGACTAAAATATCAACTTCACATCGTTTCTTTTAGTAGGATGAAAATAATCGTATTTAAATTGTGAACAAATTATATACAGAAAGCGATCAAAGTACAATCTTTCCACACAGCGTGTTTATCTGGACAACTCGTTATTAATCAATGACGCACGTTACACTGCACAACGAAGCTCTTACTGTATGTACATCGTGTTTCCATTGGTTAAAGCATTAGAGAGAGCAGAAACCGAGTTGCAATGATAAGATCTTCATTCTCGCAATCAACAGACTGTCCTCTGCTTGCTCAATGCTCAACATTTTATGTGATGGGAATAGATCTAAATACTTTAAAAACTTCTCACGATTTGTTAATCTCGATAGCTGTTATAGTAAAAACGTATAATAGCTGTAGTAAAAGTATTCGAGAGAGTTTCACATGTAATACGTAGCTATTTCATATGCAAGCATGTCAGCCAATCACAGCAGTGGCCGGTTACACTGAATCTAGTGAGTCAATGATTCAATGACCCATTCATAAAGACAGTCGCTTGCTTTGTTCCTGAATGAATCAGCCGTTTGAAAGAATCGATTGAATGAATGATACAGTGATTTGCCGCCCCCTACTGCTGTTTTTTTATTTATTTTTTATTCAAGTATCTTTTCAGTTATTTAAATAATTTAATATTTCTATATTCAACTAATCTCATGACATCGTTATTATGAATTTAAATGTCACCTTTTTGTTCTTTTATGCCACCTCTGCAGTGCAAAGATGTATTTTGTTGATAGGGATTTCATTTGTTTGGTAACTTATTCTTCCTGATTGTGTCTTATTATTCTCAAATAAATAAACTCAATTTATAAATATAAATTAATAAATTTGACATTAAAGATGACACATTTAATAAATTTAGAAAAAATGCCCTTACAAAGGTTAAAAAAATGCCCGGCAAAGTAATTTTAACCGGTGAGTGGATTCTAACTCAAACACCAAGAAATCAACAGTTATGTTTGTGATTGGCTACATTGCTCAGTGCTGGAAAAACATGTTTTAAATGGAAACCTATCCGAAGCGCAAACAGAGATACGCACTGGATCGTTTGCAATATCTGTTTTTCCAATTTGCTATTATTACGGAGAAAACTGATCCTAGACCAGCAGTTATGTACAGCTCTTCTCTCTAAAAGCAGTCAGAAGCAGCTGCAGTCAGTGGTTTGAGTGAGAATGTTCCACGCTAGTCTCGAATCCGTGGCCATGGGAAGGTTAAGCCTTGCCCAGCCTTACACACGCTTCGCTTATGTATATAGATTTAGTAGTATCAGCACAATAAACTTTTTATCTTGCCTTTTCTCACATATTATTATTGTATCAGCAAAATCCAATATCGATCAACTTCTTAATTCATATATTGATATATTAGTACAAACCAATTTCAATACGTGTATATATTAAATAAAACAAGTCAGTTGCAGTTGAATGTGTGCTTTAGCCTGTTAAGTAAAATAATCTGAGATACAGGATTTAATTTGAAATGGTATATGTTTGTTTAAATGGACATATGGTATTCATTTTATTTGTGCAGGTCTCAAAAAGTCTAAAATTTTATTTTAAAAACTCGTCTGAAATGTCCTATTTAAATGTAGCCAGAAGTGTTAACGAGGAATTGGAACTGGAATCGTCAAATACTTTACGGTTCTCTTCCTCAGTTGTGAGCTACACTTCCTTAATATCTCCCTCTCGCATAACACACGTTCTTCTTTTTCAACAGAGTGGATGGAGAGATCAAGCATTGCATGGTTTACAAGACGGCCACAGGTTTTGGATTTGCTGAGCCCTACAACCTTTACGGTTCCTTGAAAGACTTGGTCCTGCACTACAAACACACCTCTCTGGTCCAGCACAACGACTCACTGAATGTAACCCTGGCCTACCCGGTCCTCGCACAGCCGCCTAGATGAGCACCCTGACACGACACTGCCGAGGACACGCATATAAAGCATGATTAAGCACATTATACAGAGCAAACTATACTAACACCGAACTTTTACGTTTATCATAGAGAACAGATAAGCACAGTATATTATCGTAAGTAAGCGTACGGCTTTTTTGTAAGCCCATAGTTTTCCGTGTCAAAGTCAGCTGCAGTAATTACGGTAAGATCACAGCTTGTGTACTCTGTATTTGTTGTCCCAATACAAGAGAGAGGCAAGTGTCACATGACTCCATGAAAGCTCGAACTAGTGCCGTAGTCCTGGATATTTTCGATTAGGACATGGGTCAGGAATGAGATGAGGAATTAACTGAAAGCTTGCAGCTGTTGATAATCAATCTTTTAGCTGTTACGCTGCGTTCAAGCCATGTCGTAATTACCGTAGTCCTGAGATGACAACATCTGATTTTCTATTCTGAGCTGTACCGTAATTACGGTAATAACAACATGGCCTGAACTCACCTTTATGTCACTGTGTATTTGTTTGGTAGTTCGCTTCTGTCAACCATATCAATAGATTCCTCTTTATGTGAGTTGTCCTGTAGAAGATGTGAAATTATTTTATATATCAGATTTTGTTGAGGGACTCTGAAGTCCTTTTAGCTTCTAATCTGCCTCTTAAAAGCTAGTCGTCATGGTGAGAATAAATAGCCATCAACACTCGTGTACTTTTATTTGAGATTTTACACCACAGCGCCGAAGTCTGGCATCTTAATGGTTTCTGTGGGCTGGTATTGGTGCTTCCTGCTATATTTTTGATTCTTGGAACATGAGAATGATGCATAGCTATAGCGAACCGTTAAGATCCAGAGCAAAACAAACGTGATCCCAAAGCAATGACGCCCACAGGAACTTTCACTCGCTTGGAACGGTTTCAAGGGGCTAAGCAGGTTATTCAACAGGCGCAAGCAAAAATGGAACTGAAAAACACCTGGATATGATTACAGATTTTTTAGGTAATTATCAGGTGCAAGTGATATATTGTGGAAGTAAATAAGTCCTAATGGTGGTTGGGCATTTTGTAACTGTACTTCCCCTAGTGTTTCATGGCATCTTGGGCTTGTGCTGTGGCTCATCTTGTCAGATGATACACTGGTCTGTACATCATACAAGTCAGCTGGTTTAGAAAGTACCATTTTTTTGTGAGTGATCATAAGCAGAACCAGATAGCAATTTTATGTTTGCTTACTAAGAATCAGTGATCAAATTACATTTTTGAAGAGGGAAGTGGTTTTAAAGTGCCTTCTGCCCATATGTCCTTGAGGAGCTTTCCTGGGATTGGGGCAGTACAGAATGCTTCACTTCCATAGATTCACTAATCAGATATTCATGCCACACACACACACACTCCTCGAACCCTAAAACCAAAAGGAGGATCATCCCATCAAAGGCATTCTGTTCAGTACTTTAAAATAAAATGCTTTCTAATTGCAGTTGCATTGGGAATAGCAAGTTAGAGAAGACCTCTTATTTGTCATTAAACATAACTCTTTATTTGTTAGCTTGTATGCTTTTAATGAGGTTTGGTCTTAACCAGTATGCACTTTCATGGAAGTTAATTTGAGGTACCTTTTTAACAACAGGAGTAATTTCATCAATTTTTAAGGCCTGTTCACACCAAGACAAAAATTGAATGTGATAAAGATTTTAATTTGATTGAATGGCTGGTTATGCTGTGAGTTAACATTGTGCAATTCTGAGAGAGAAAAAAACGAGATATAAACTCGCATCGATAAAAATTCACAATTTCCTTTCTAATTGGTTTTATTCCGTGGCAGAAATAACCTTACACATATTTAACAATAACTTATAAACTGCTAAAGACTGACCTACGAAAAGTTGCATAGTGCTTTGGTACATGGTAAGCAGAGTATTTCTTCCTTTTCCAAAAGCGCCACAACTGTCAAAGAGTGAAATTACACTTTTATTCAGCCCATTTGTGGTTTTATAAGCATTGGTCTAAACACACAAGAAAATCTGACTGTTCCGAACATGTTGGTGTGAACAGGCTTTTATTCTGGATACATTTTAATAAATAAAATAGGCTATCAAATACAGATGCAGTGCATTTCAGTTTATTTAAAGGGCAAGTTGAAATACTTTAAAACCTTGAAACTTTACATTTGCCTAAATCTCGTATATTAATTCTTCGCTTTTGACATCCTCCTTTTAGATGGATTCATTTTTGTTTCTAAATCCACAACAGACAATAAGGTTTTAGTTTTGTAAGCGTTTTTGTCTGTATATTCCGGTTTGTTTCATCCTATCGATAGGATGAAGTTGTTTTGCTATGACGGTGTGGAGTGGAGCAAGAACAGAGACACTGGTTATGATTCCTTGAATGTGCTGACTGACTGACGTCAGGTCTTTGAGAGCACAGAGAATGAGCCAGAGTGTTGGATGGGACGAGTTTGTGTGAGATAAAGCAGTGGAGTAAAATCCTCTAAATGCACTATACAAGCACATCTTGAGGTGATTATGAGTGAGAATTAATGAAGCTTGACAGTCTTTATGAGCAACAGAAATAGGTTAGGTACACATTTTAGTTACAGGCCTATAATGTCATAACGTGTTATGATCGTGCCGTAGTGGGTCTGTTCTTTGTTTTTATTTTCTTTAACTCCTTTTTAAAGAGAAACTATAATTGTATGTCAAAGTTTTGTTTTTTCATTGTAAGTAATGACCTTACGGATTCAAAGATAAGCTAGCTTGAATATCTCTCTTCCATTCAGTACAGTTACAAATGTTTACATTATCTAATTAACCAAATAGAAGATGTTTTCAAATGTGCTCTGTCTGTCAGACAGGGATTCTTGTCTTTTTTTTTTTTTTTTTTTTTGCCTCTGCTGTTTTAAACTTGAAGATTTTCTTTCCCTTCTTTGTTCACTTTAAACAGTGCTCCCTCACCTCACAACATTTTCTCTGAGTAAAAATGCAGCTATGACCCAGAGCCAGCTTTTTCTTTCCATAGCAGACATATTTTTCAAGTTTCATAGAACGTTTCATTTTTGGACTTTAATCATTCTGACAATTATATCCTGATTTCTGTCCAACTTCCCTCTGTAGTCTCAGTTAAAGCAAGAACTAAAATTAGCAGTTCTTCCCCCCCCCCCCCCCCCCCCCCCCCTTCCCTCTTTCTATGACAAGATATACACCGAAAAGTAAGATACAGCAGGGCCAAATGTTTAATAGACATGAATTTTTGTATTTAGTGGTTATGACATAACCACTGATTATCCTTCACCTCTTTAAACTAAATGATACCTTACTGTCTTGTTTCCCCTGAGTGCATGAAGTAGCCTGTTGAAGATAATGCACACCAAAGTGCCATTAGACATGGAGGATGGGGAGCACTGTTTGTTACCCAGTACATTGTGTGTGTGTGTGTGTGTGTGTGTGCGCGTGCGCGCAAACTTCATGTACATACTTTTTCTCATTTTACTACTTCTGTTCTCTCCAGTCTGTTTTTGGGTGCAGATTTTTCAGTGTTCAGTTTGCATCAGTGTTTGTCTCTCAAACAGGTACACAAGCATTACAGAGATATGGCTCTTTAATAGATAGATGGAATTATTTTTAAGACAATAAAAAGATATTGAGTCTATTGCACCTTCTGGTCTGTCGTCATCAGTTTGATCTTGTGATGTTATTCAAACAACTGTTGCTTTTACAGGGAATGTCATGCTGAAGCAGCAGAAAGTGTCATACCTCAAACTTGTTGGGTCAGTAGTCATTTGACAAACACTTTGGCATGTGTCCTTAGATTACCTGGGGGTGGAAAATCTGTCCTAATATAGGGACAACCTAGAGAATGTTTCGAATTCAAAGTGACCAACAGCTGGATCAGGATGGTTTTAAATCATTAAATATACTGACCTAATGTCAGATGTCTGAATTTTATGCAACAATACTTTTAAAGTTGTGTGAAACAGAACTTCCCCGTTATGGCGAATATCTAAGTGAAACAGCTTCTTGAATGAGGAAAAAAAAATGTAGGGCAGGACTTGGTTTGAATTATAGATTACGAGGGCATATGAATAAAACAAATTAAATATATTCCAAAAATTCCAAGTTTTGATTTCACAGTGTCTTTAAAATCTACAGTTTTATAATATGGATCAGTCAGTTCTGTATTCAAAAATGTGGCTCTGTGTGAATGCTACATGTATACATACATTACATCTGTTTATGGAGCTTTGACACGGATGTCATTGTTCAGAGGAGCAAACTGGCATAAACAGCCCATGTGATTGTTTACACCAGTCATGTATAAAGGTCACACAGAAACAAGACAGTCTGCATATTCATTATATTTGACACTTTTCTGTAAAATACAACTCATTTTAGAACCTTCAAACTCAAGAAGACATTTTTTTGTCATATATGTTGTGATGCAGTGTGATCCAGGTAGACGAGCAATGATTATGTCAGTGATCAAATTATAAACAAGAAATAAAATTGTATTTTATAATGTACAATTATAAAGACAACAAACTGATCAAGTAAATATTAAAATTGTAAGCAAATAAGTTTCATGATAATAAATGATCTTAGTCAATAGATAATAAAATCCAAAGTAGTGTATCTAACAGATGAAGATTGTGACAATCGGAATATAGAGAAAGAAAGGCCCAAAAGAAGGAAGATATTGCAGAATAAAAAGAGACCAGAAAAAAAGCCATGCGTCTTCTGAAACCAAACATTTTAAATGCTGTGTATGCGTTAAAGGAAGGGACTAGGGAAAGTACCCATTCAAATTGTTTGTACTTCCCTTCCAACCAACAAGGATGCAGTCAAGATAAAAGGCACCCTAGCAGGTCTGATTAGGTCACCGTGTCCTTGTAAGAAATTGTGGTTTTAAGACCTCGAAGAGAATATAGCAGATCTTAGATTACTCATGTCTGCAGAGATGAAAACGGATGCACTTTGATACCCTGGCACATAATGCAATCAAGTATGAAGGGATTTACAGAACAGCTTTTAACTGTAAATGGAGACCTTAATTAAAATGCTTTTGTTAGAGACAACATATATCACCCCGTCCAGTCCTTCTTGGGGTGTCCTGTGAAATGTTATGTGGGATGAGGGCTGTCCATACAACAATACATTGAACAGGGTTTGAGCCCATGTCATTATTCACTCAATCAACATCATACATGATTTGGTTTTAAATATATGATTTTCTTTGCTGTTTTTAAATGATTCCATTATCATCAAATAACTGCTTAGCCATCCTATTTCTTATTCATACAGTTTTTTTTTTTTACTTGGAAAACATTCATCCCAATCATAATCATAAAACATAACAATCACAATACAATATTTATATTATTTGGAACAGAATCAGTTCCGTTCGATGGACATGCTGCAAAAGAAACAAAAGTTAAGTGTGGGGTGCACTTTAAAAAAAATTGCATGATCAATAAGTTGTGACAACATATGTTTTTACATTGCTTTAACTCATCAAAATATTACAAGATTATACAAGAGTCAGTTTAATGTAATTGTAATTAAGTTGAAATGACTTAAACATCCAAGTTGACTGGACTGGATTAAGGCAGCACATTTTTTGTTTTTACAGTCTGGACAGGTCAAATTTGCTTGCTCTCTATTTATTCAGCATTATCCGCATTGTGAGCCCGCTTAGAAAATTTGAATTCAGCTGTTCATGGCATTTTGTCTGCCTTGGTGCACCATCATTCACACACTTTTACGCCTCTGGACAGAGTATTATCTCTTTTTTGTGTTGTACTACCTCTGCAGTGCAGGCAGTTAACTCAATGGGGAATGTATTAAGGGTGGAATATCATCGAGTCTAATCGAATAAAACTGTTTCGATGACGGAAGAAACTATTGAACGTATAGGGACTGTCACCCACTGTGGCATTACCCGTGCAACAGTGTGAGTTTGGAATAACACTGCGGTCACAAATCCCAAATTTAATTATGTTGCCATTTTGGTAGTTCAATTGGGAAACATGTACATTTCACGGTCAACTATCATAAAGTTTCACTGCAAAAAAAGAAAGAAAAAAAAGCAACTTTTCAGCGCAGTCTTCCTCGTGATAGTAATAATATTTTGTGGCCATAATAAAAGTCTCCAGCATTTGCAGTGTTGGGTTTTGCCGGATTTTACTGACGTCACGTAAATACACCAATCAAAATCTCGGCCCTTCGATATCTGTAGCAGGAAGAAAGTTTAAAATGTTGTACACTACACATTTTCATTCAGAAAACAAGGCAAGCAGGTGACCAGGAATCATGTTCGGCTTTAAACTGTCTGTGTTGTTCTTCGCTGTATTGTCACTGAGTAAATGCAGCGGTAGGTTTGTTTACTCCTGTAAGTATCCACCTTCACAGTGGTGCGACTCTGAAGACATTGCAGCCGAATGTGGGGTAAGTATCGGGGGGGGGGGAAACTTACGACTTACTCCATAAATTTCCTAATATGAAACCATTAGATAGCCTAGGTTTTTGTATTGCTTTATTGGCAATAATTTTACTTGCACGAAAAAGTAAAAGCGCGCATTTGAAGTAATAGATACATTTAGCCTATGCAAATTGCCCTGAGTATATTTAACGTAAGCTTCTCGTTTTGTTTTCCGCTATCTGGGAAATCCCGAACTTTTTGGGCACTGATCATTTCCCTTTATTCTCTTCTTTCTTAGGTGCTTGAACAATGCATGAAGTTTAACGTGACAAAGCCCAACGCTGACAAAGTGAATGTGAGCCTGTACTATGAGTCTTTGTGTCCTGGATGCAGAGGTTTTCTTGTAGAACAGCTCGTGCCAACCTACATTATGCTGTCAGACATCATGAACATTGATCTGGTTCCATATGGAAATGCACAGGTATATTTACGCTGCCCACTGCTGCTCAGACAATTTACCCTTTGTACAAACAGCACATAACTGCTATTTACACTTTGTGTGAATAGAATCTATTTCTATTTGCATTCAACATGGTGTAAACTAGAATATATTTATTGTATTTGACACAATGCAAATATAGTACCTAACACAACTTACACAGTGCAAATAGCAACCAATTTCTTTTACAGTAAAAGATTTTTTAAAAAGGCTCACATTCATGTAAGTTACATTAATGTTAAATGCTGTTGCTCACAATTTGTTTTCATAATAGGAGAAAGAAGATCAGGGGAAGTACACCTTCATCTGTCAGCACGGAGAGGGTGAATGTCAAGGTAACATGATTGAGGTGAGGTTTTGCTATTTATTTCACCACTCAAACATTTTAAAAGCAGAAGTGGATTGGTGTTGTTAACATTGAACACATCTTGTTTAGAGCTAAAAATAGAGGTATAATAAATGTAATCTTTCCTGTCAGACCTGCCTGTTGGATAGGTTAGGTCTGGATGAGGCTCTTCTGGTCATTTTTTGCATGGAATCAGGACCAGATGTGCTGAAAGCAGCCCAGCCTGTAAGTAGTCATTACTATTTTGCATGCTGTTATTCTTCCTATCCATCCATCAACCCTGTTGCAATGCAATGCTAATCTGTACCTCCCATCTCAGTGTCTCGGAGTCTACAAACCCGAAATAACATGGGATTCAGTCATGAAGTGTGTGACGGGAGACCAGGGCAATAAATTAATGCATGGAAATGCAGTGAAAACAAATGCTCTGAAGCCCCCTCATGAGTATGTGCCTTGGATAACCATCAATGGAGTAAGGAAGTTATTTGTTTATTTATAAGGATTTTTTTTTTTAAATCTGTGTAATTAAATGGCTCAATGTTGTTCCTGCAGGAACACACAGATGATCTTCAGGATAAAGCAATGAATTCTCTCTTCAGTCTTGTGTGCAGTTTGTACAAGGTTTGTTTGCAACCTGAGAGGTGCCTGTTAGTGTTTAATACCATTTCAGTGTCTTATCCTATCAACAAGGAGTCCATCACATGACCTATTTTTTCTTTGTGTTCATATAGGGTGAAAAGCCAGCTGCTTGTACTCAAGGGTTGAAGAAGAAAACCACCAGTTACTGCATGAAGTAATCATTAAATCTGATAACAACACTATTCATGTCAGGAATGGAGAGATTATGTATGAAACATACATGCTGAAATGTATTTGAATATTTTTTGTTGTTGTTTCTTTGTCCATATGTATATGAAAGTGTCATTTTGAACATGGTTTTCTGCTGCTGACTACAACTGGTGATAAGACCATATTTTTATAGTCACGTTTTAAACCACTTTGTATGCATAAACAAAATTAAAGTACATTTCCATCACTTTTGCACTTTTTAAATCTCATTTGCTTGTGTGTTAATGATTAAGAGGGAAAAATCATTGCTAAAGTGAACTTTACTCGAGAGAAATGCTTCCTCGATGGTTTTAATTTTTTTTGCTTGTCTACATTTTTGCTTATCATTAACAGTCTTTCCACATTATTTTGACCAACAAAGTGAAAATACTTTAGGGTTTTTAACTGATATTATTAACTATCGTTAATATAATAACTATTAATAAAAAAAAGCGTCCGAAGATCAAGAAATTATGTCCTAATAGCAGGTATTCAAACGGGACGAGATTATTGATTGAGGTCAAAATGATGTGGCGACATTCTGCGCACATTGACGCAATCTTGATGCTTGTGAGCGCAACGTCATTTCGCGCGTGACTCGTCACCGGCTCCTTCAGGCTGCTCTGGTTCCGGTGGTTACATGAATGAAATCTAATCTAAAGATTTAAATATGTTAGTGAGTTAAATTGCAGCTGAATTTAGGCCAACAGACACACAATTCGGGGATATCGTAGCAACTGTAAACATCTATCTGAGAGTATTAAGGAAGATGCATTCCTTTCCATTTTAAGTTAACACTTCTCAATATTTAAATATATTTGTGTATCTCGTATGCCATTTATTCTGGAGTAAAGGAACAGAAGTGGCGAATGAAGTCGTCGAGCCGTAACTTGAGAGGAATTTAAGTTAACTCGGTCTAAACATGATATCTCGTCAGAGTAAGGATTTTCTCATAAGGATCGCCGGTTACTGGAAGCCGCTTTTCAGAGGCAGATTTCTGATCGTGACGAACACGGTGAGTTGTGGGGGGATGTTGGCAGCGGGCGACCTCATCCAGCAGACTCGAGAGACGCGGAAGACCCCCGGACGAGCACGTGACTGGTGGCGTACAGGTGACGAGAAAACAAATTATCTGTATGATATCACACACAAAGTCTGGCTTGTTTAAAAATATACATCAGCTCATGTTTGTAATGTATGTGCCAGTGCGTGACACGAAAAACTTTTAACTTATTCTTTTAAAGTATCGTGTGACTGTCCTGTCGTGAAAGTAACGCGAGATTAATGAACTCTCGCGGTGTTGCGCCCTCTATAGGTTGTATGTTTGCCGTCGGATGCTCTATGGGTCCTTTCATGCATTATTGGTACCTGTGGCTCGACAAATACTTTGTTGGCAATGGCATAAGTAATGTCTGCAAGAAAGTGTTTACTGATCAGATGGTTGCTTCACCAGCACTGGGGGCCTGGTACTTCCTAGGTGAGATATTGCTGCTGATTTCCATTCATTTCTGTTTCTCACTGTAATATAATTAATAAAATTCTGATAAACATTACACCTGTTTTATTTGTTTGTTTGTTTTTAATGAAGGTATGGGTATGATGGAGGGTCAAACTTTGTCTGAGGCACAAAGTGAATTCAGAGACAAATTCTGGGAATTTTACAAGGTATGTTGCTTTGATAAGCATGTGTTCTTAGTTCAACCTCAAATTATGTATCTTCTTGGCTGAGCTTTTCATAACTTGCTTCTTTTTAGGCAGATTGGTGTGTTTGGCCAGCAGCTCAAATGGTAAACTTCTACTTCTTGCCACCCAAGTATCGTGTTCTTTATGTGAATATAATTACCCTGGGATGGGACACCTACCTCTCCTACCTCAAACACAGTAAGACATGTTTGCATCTATCTCATAACACAAGGCATAACTAAAATCCATTTGTAGTATTTACTGAACAAAGATGGTGTTATATAATTATTAATCTTGTCTTGGTGGCCAAGTTTTACTTTAGCGATTGGCAGGTTTAAAATGAAAGCATGGGTGTGAGCTTCCTTTTGACAAGTGATGCATGACATTTGTGTTTTTCAAGGAGACCACGTAGAGGCCAAACGAGAAGCTGAATGAACTGAGTGAAGATGTCCGAAGAGGAGGAATATTTCAAAACACTGCTTTGATCACACAAATAAAAATAAATCAGATTATGTAAGACTGTTAATGTACAGCTTTCTGTATTTTATTTTATATAATAGAATTAATAGAATTTTATCCAGTAATGCCAGGTACATTGCACATTTGTTTTAATGTGTTTGTATTTATTTTGAATAATATAAAAGTGTTGAATGTAATTTTAAATAAATTTAACTGTCTGAAATCAGTGTATTGTTGGCATATGAAGAACAATTTATAAAATCATACTGTTTACAAATATATTCTTATGATTTCACCAAGTACACCATGTTCCTGGATTAATATCATTGTTCCTGGAACAACTTTCCAATCAACCATTCAGATTTGAGGGACAAGTTTACAGTTTGTTTCAAGTTTAGGCTTACAACCAGGGTTAGGTGCTTCTACATCAGTGTTATTCACCTATCATTTCCCCCCGATTTTTAGGGATTAGGTTATGGGTAGGGTTAGGTTTAGGGGTAGGGATGTGGTTTGAAACATATTTTCGGACAGGAATGTTGTTCTAGGATCAACAAAATATGTCGACCCAGGAACAGGTCTTGGCAAAATCACGGTGACTGGTATAGTATACAGATTATATAGTTATCGTCCTTCACTGTAAGAAATATTTTCATTTTTGGTTAAGCATGTTTATAATCAAAATAATGTGCCAATATTACTGTCATATATACTGTATGAATGCTGAACCCTAGGCATATGCTGCATAAGCAGTAATGTGGCTGGTTGTTTGTGCTTCTAGCCAGTTTCTGTTCCAAAGTTATGTTGTTCATAATTTGCCTTAACATTTTTACCTAATTATTAATTTCATTTTTTGATGAAAATGTTTGCTAGACACTTTGATATCTACATTGCCCTTATTTGACACTGTTTTGTAATGGAAGACAATAAAATTATTTTGTGTTTTGAATATTATAATTTAGAGAATGATTTTTATACATCATAACTTGTACTTTGAGGTTAAAATCCAAATTTGAAGGAGCACGTTTACTCCTCTATCAAGGCATCCATCTTTCAGTGGTGTGTGTGACAGTCCTTGACGGCACGTGAGCTTCTCTGCAGTCAGCACAGGCAAACCTGCTGAGTGAGAGTGGCAGGACGCTGTCTTCATAGGGGCTTCCAAACTGATAAAACAGGTGTTCTGACGGTGTTCTCACAAACAATTTGGTTTGGAGCTATTTAGGTTACTTGCCACAGGATTGGTAAACAACCTTTTTTTGGAAGTGACCAGAATGTGCAACTCTTGGATTGAAGATATGCTTCAAAATTATTTGAAGAAAACCACCATACATCTTGCCATGTCTTCTCAGTTTTAGAAGTAAGTGTTATTTGTTGCACACTTTACTGTTGTTTATTTAAATGATTGTTTTGTTTATTATTGATTGGTGCTTCATGTTTCTTATTTCAGGAACCTGAAAATTTGAGTTTCTACTTTTTGAACAAATCCAGTTTTGTTGTTGTTTTTTTATTCCTGAAACTGTATTTTCAGAAGTGCCTCCAACAATTGCTTTCAACAATATGAAGAGAAGTTCTTCTTTGAAGTCTTTCTGGACATCAGAGGTAGGTCCTATCAGTACATCAGCGCTCACAGTTATCCTCTCTGGTTTGACTCTTAAAAGATAAGTGTAGATTCACTGTGACTGTGCAGATTATCACAAATTTATAATAGGCTACAAAATTAAAGCGTACCCTAATATTTCCATTATTATGCATTATATTATTCAAGTAAAAAGCAAACTGTCTGGCAAATTAACATTAGGCCTAGATAGTAGGCTATTATTAGTTTATTATTGTTACCTACCTTGATAGTAATTATGTCAATATTACAATTGTCTTTTGTGCTGTTCTGGAGAGAGATAATATGTAGGTGTATATTATTTACTTGTTCTGTTTAATTCAGAGAGAATGGGACACTGTGAACCAGCAGGTTCTGCACGGTTCCAAACCCATGCCCAGTCACCGTACAGTTAAGAGGACATTTTCAGGGGTCCTTCAGCTTCCCCGTCTGTCCCGCCGGCTCTCGGCTCAGGGAGATTCAGAGATCACACCACGCAAGGCCATCTTCTGTCTCGGCAATGGCATCGCCAATGGCCTCGACTTCGATGCTTTTCAAAGTTCCTGGTAAGCCGCTCTTTTGTTTTATAAAGACACTTTGAATCACTTAAACTTAACCTGTAATCATTTGTCGAAAGGATTTCAATTTCAATCGAGTCCTTTGTAGCCTACTGTTTGTGAAGAAGAACGAGGAAAATCTTGTTTTTTTTTATCGTATGTTGTAATCAAGTGTAAGGTTAGAGGAATTTTACACTAAAACAGATTTTAGTCGATAACTTCGTCATGTAACGTTAGGCCTACCTGTTTTCAAAATAGTGGCTTCACGTCAGCAACTTTAGACGGAGGCCAAGCACATAACCTACTGTTTCTATGTTGTTTCTTGACTATGAGGTATAATGTCTTGTAATTTAACATAATGTTCACTGAACTACATCAGTATTGTAATAATTGTTGTTAAATTACCACATATCCCTATAATCAGTTATTCGTTAATTGATTTAGTATCCGGAGCCAGAGACGTGTTGCATTAGGCTATATAGACTGCAGAGGGAGCTGTTCTCTAAAGACCAGAAATATATGCTACCTCTGACAAGAAAACAGTCAGGACAAAAAATCAGTAATAATAATAATAATCCGTCAGAGTCAGTAAATGTGCAGTTACACATTATGATTATTTTTTTTTAATTATTTGCCAGAATCACTTTTCAGGTAACTTTAGTGGCAGCTGACATCATTAAGATATAAAATAATAAAAAGTCAAAAGAAGACAAGCATATTCTTTATTCACTAGGTTAATTGTTCATTGCTTTATCATTTAAAGAAATGTTGCTATGAACTATAGGTCTCCTCTAATGACTACCCAAATACTTACCAAGGGTTAAAACTTCAATTTTCCCCCACATATACAGTGGCTGCAAAAAACTTTTTTGGACACTTACAGCAAGTCACACTTAAAAAATCTGAATGTCATTGCACAGACAAAACACCAAACCAAGTGACAACTGCAAACAACTTCTGATACAGCTCAGCGCTGGGCGATATGACCAAAAAAAAAATCATATCTCTATCACTAAGGCTGCATTTATTTGATCAAAAATACAAACAGTAATACTGTAACATGTTACTACAATTCAAAATAACTCTCTTCTAATTTAATAATGCTTATTTAAAATGTAATTTATTCCAGTGATGGCAAAGCTGAATTTTCAGCATCATTACCCACACAAACTCCTTCAGAAAGCATTATAATATGCTGATTTGGTGGAATTCCACATTTTTTGTGGAAACCATAATCATTTTTTATTTTGGGATTCTTTGATCAATAGAAAGAAAAGCATTTATTTGAATTGGAAATCTTGTGTAACATTATAAATGCCTTAACTGTCACTTTTGAGCAATTTAATTAATCCTTGCTGAATAGAATTATTAAATAAAAAAAATATTCCCGACTCCAAACTTTTAAATGGCAGTGTATGTTGTTTTGTATATTGGAAAAAAGTAGAATTTTTTAATATAAAGTTTTAATAATAGGTTCAATGTCTTGTTTTGTAATGCAGAAGACATTTTGAAGTGTATCTAAAGTATGCAAATCCTTTTTCGGGGGCCCACTGTATGCATATTGTTTTTTGCGTATACACAACTCATCTGGCAGGGAACTTCTTCCCCTCTGATAATCAAAGCCCATGGGGCCCGTGATAGAGGGCCATCGTGACATGAGCCATGCTCTCTGTCTGACTTTATCTGACTTTGCTTTTTATAGTCAGAGCTTTCATGTGACTTCTCCTGGTAAACCTAGAGCATGTGAAAGGCATACGCATTTCTCGAAGGGAATCTGTTCGCCCTGATCAGCTCTGCGTTGCGCCGCTTGTGCTTTGGCTTTTCAGCACGCCAGGGGACTGGAACAGGAAGTCATTATAGACCAGGAAACACTGGACCTCGCACACTAATAGTCTTAATGCGGAGGTGGGGCCACTTAGAGAGCTCTATCATGGAGTCCTCTCATTGTAAATCACACTGCCATATTTAGTCTGTTGGAGGGAAGTCTTCCAAGTTATGTAAACAAAGCGAGTTCACGAGGGGAGATGTTCCATTGCTATGATGGCTGGTTACGTTAATGTGCCTGTGATCTCTGAAGCAAGGCTGGATTTCTCAGCTCTAGTGAAGGGTGAGAGATGTAGACTGTGGTTTTTGTGTTGAGAAAGCAGTGTGAGTGAGCGACTCATGCCATGACTAGACAGTCGTTCTGCCAGTTGTGAAGACACAGTAACTCTGCTGTCATGAGTGACATGAGTTCGGAAGAGGAGAGAACTCAGATACCCTCGCATCTCAAGCTTAAGGGAAACTCTCCCACTGGCTCCCCCAAAATGTCTCCGCGGGACTCTCCTCGGAGTTCGCCCCGCAACTCGCCTCTGCTCTTCCGGAGGCTGATGATGAATCGCAGCATTGCTTTGCAGAGACGCTTCACTTTGGCTCACACTCCCAGGTAGGATCTGAACTCTTCTGCATCGTTTATTTAGCATCTTACCGGGAGGCTTGGCTTCACACACACACACACACACACACACACAGGAGTCTTGTGGCACAGGCATCTACGTAACAACACATCACATGGCGAATTTTGTGGCTGCTTGAGACATTGCCCCCCGTCCAAATTTTGTATTGATGCTAACACTTCTAGCTAAAATTTATAATCACTATAATCAAGGAGGTGGTTTGTCTGCTGTGTGGAAGCATAAAAAGATGTCTTTGTTTGGGAAGATGTCTTGACCTGAGGTATTTATTGTCAGCCTATCTCATCAGTGATCGAATGAAGTGCTTTTTTGCACATAGTTATTCTGGTTTTGTCTCTTATGCCTGGTAAAGTCCAACCTGGCAGTAAAATTAACTATGAGCACTTGACTTTCTGAGAGAAAAGGCTTTGTTCTGCGTTGTATAA